CCTCTTTTCTTATTTTCTGATTTATTTTATTTATTTTTATTTATTCTGAAAATTCGAATTTCTTGGCGGCAACCCTAAATCTGATTAGGTGTTAGCCTTTCTTGCTTTCGGCACACGTTTTGATCCCGTGGGGGTAGCGAAGTGCTACCGAAATTTTCTGATTTTCTCTTACTTAGTCTTTTCGGCACACTTCGACCCCATGGGGGTAACGAAATGTTGCCAAAATTTTTGAAAAAAAAATCAGATAACCCATTTCTCCCCACCTCCTCACACACTTTATTTATTTATTTATTATTATTATTATTATTTTATTATTATTATTATTTGCGGCATCTCTAGTGTGCTCACCTCGGTCTCTCCTTTTCCCTTGGCACATTCTTGACCCCGTGGGGGGTAGGGAACTGTTGCCGAAAATTTCAAAAAAAATAAATATTGTTTCCCTTCACATCTCTTTACTTATTTCTTTAATTATTTTTATTATTTATTTATTTTTTTATTAATTTTTATTTTCTCTCGAAATCTCACTGTTTATTTATTTTTCTCCCGTCTCCCCCCCCTTATGCCTGCTATTTTACTTTCTTGATTAGGTCACCGGTACCCTATCCTAGCCACTTAAACCTCGGTTAGGGTTTTCTTAGGGTTTTTGTAAGGTTTAGGGTTCCTCAAAACCCCCCTACTTCCCCGTCCTCTTCGGACACCCTGGACCCGAACCACCCCTCCCCCTTTGACGGCACCCGTGCTAGCCTTGCTAGTGCCGTTCGCGGCTTTCTACCGCGGACTTCCCCCTACGCCCTCAGCTCACACGGACCTCTTTTGGCCCCCTCCAGTCCGGTCCGTCATCTCCCCATGGCCGACGGTGCGTCACACGCCGCCGACACGGCAATGACCACGGCATCGGGCTCCACACCCGTGCCGGCGGACCATGACCATCAGCCCCAGGGGGATCTACACACCCTCCTCACCTCCCTCCTTGCGCCCATCCAGGCGCAACTCGCGACCCTTGCGCCCATCCAGGCGCAACTCACAACCCTCGCGCCCTTACAGGCACAGGTGGCGACCCTTGCCGTCGGCATGCAGCAACTCTAGGACGCTGCGTGTCCGTCATCTCCTGGCTCCCAGTCCGGGTCCCCCGTCCTCCGACAGGGTGGCCACGGCGGAGCTTCCTCCTCCGTTGCCCCTGACCCGGCCATCTTGGTGGCTGTCCACGCCCCTAGCACGACGGCCGCCACGAGCCACGCCCCCCCTCAGTCTACGGGCGCACCCGCCCAGATCCCGGTCACTACGGCCATGGTACAACAACCCGCTACCATGGTCTCAACTTTTCCGGGTGCCCCGCTTCTCCCTCCTCTTCGCACGACCGCAGCGCCACCTGGCTCTCCCACCTCTGGGATGCCCCGCGCGGCTTGTGCGTCCACCCCCTCCACTCTTCCTCCTGCCACCCCTCGATCGACCTACGTTCGAGGCCTCATGGACGAGATTGCCCAGCTTCGGGCCGACCTCGCCCTCTTACGCCTTCAACCACCCCCACCCTCACAGGTGGCCGCGCCTTCGGGCGCACCCTCTACCTCCTCTACCCTTCCTCCCATGTAGGCTCGCTTTCCGTGCCCTGCACCCTATACAACTCCTTCCTACCTTCTTCCTCCTCCCGCGGTTGCTGCGACCTCTTCTACCGCAGCACCCTCGCAGCCTGCCGCTGTTGCCACCGCCGCTCCCCCATGCGGCCCGGGCGCACAGTCAGCTGCGCCCCTTTCTCCAGGACCTGCGCCGACTTACTCAGCCGTGGCACAGGCCTCCGCTCCTCGATCCCCTCGCCGCCAAAACGGTGGCGCACCACTCATCCGCTTGTCGGATATTGCCTTGTATGACGTTACAGGCATACGCGTGTCTCGGTGGCTACAGTCTGTCACCCGCACACTCTAGCTCATGGGCGCCATACCCGAGATGTGGGTGGGTCACCTCTCCACGCGCCTGCGTGGCGGTCCTTTCGAGGCCTGGGAGGATTTCTATGCCTACTCCCTTCGTGAGGGTCGGACTCCGACGTTCGTGGATTTCCAGGCGTTCCTCGAGGATCCCTTCGGAGCCCGATACGACGTGACTGACGCCTTTGAGCGTGTCGTCACTACACGCTGGTCCGGCTCTGGTGGCGCTGTCGGCCTGGATCGCCACATCCAGGTCTTTCAGGACGCCCGCCTCGTTTGCGACGTGGCGTTCCTCCCCGAGGCTGCCCTTATCGATCGTTTCTTGGCCAACCTTCCGCTCGAGTACCGCTCCGAGCTATGGCGGTAGGAGTTCACATCGGCCCCACAGGCTTATGAGGCCGCCAGGGACCACCAGCGATGCGAGCCCGTCTTCACCCCGCCTCCTYCTCCCAGCCCCAGCGCACGGGCTACGCC